TCCCGTTCTCAGCAGGAGATTTTGCAGTCCACATGGGTACAGGAAACGGAGCCTGTAATTTCGGCGGCAACGACGGGAATGGCTGAAACTCTTATTTTCTATACCGTTTCTGCCTCCTAGTTAATGCATACTGCAAGATTTGTAGAATTCGGTGTAAAGAACCCGCCTACGTGTGTTTGGCTATGGAGGAAGATGGAAGGGAACGGGGTTGGGAAGGGTTTGGTCTTGTATTGATTATTAGATCATTTAGACTTGATCATGGAATTCGTATTTGTGACAGGCTCCACCGTCAGAAAACCCTGTCAAGAAAAAAAAAAGGGGGGTGTGGAGAGCATTGGCGTCAGCTGGAAGCTACTAGAGGCCTGAGCTTTTCATCCCTATTAGGGAAATGAGGTAGTAATGTGCAGGGCCTGAAGTGTGCTGTTTCATAAGGTACCTTCCCTCCACCCTTCTTTCCGCTTCGTAGTCTTAAGTCTTTTTAGTAGTCCTGTCTGAAATACCACTCTTCAGAAAGAATTTTCAGCCATATTCTTTTTTTCCTGCAGCAAATGATAAAATCAGGAACGTTGACGTTTTGGGGCCATAGCAAGTGGTTGCAAAATGTTCTAGCATCAGCGGAAGGCAAAATTTCAAGCGTCCTTTTCAGACACGGCTAGACATTTTTAAAGTCAGGCTAGTCATAAAATTTTCAGAAAATATTTCTTTAAAATAAATGGTCCTACTTATTTATTGGTAACACTAGGATCTGACAGTGGCAGAACGTGATGTCTGGTTGAAAATTACATCTTTATGTGATCAAAAACATCACAGTGATCTTTATTATAAATCCACATTAATATACAGTATTGTCAAAGTACTTCTGCTTTTAAAGGAAAAATGAAATGTCAAGTGGTTTTAGCATTACTGATTTAATGGTAGTTTAGGTCATAAAAAGTTCTCTGTATATTTGCGTTAGCATGGCTGTTTTCACAATCTTCAAAAATTCTGTTCATGAGTATGTAGCAACAGTTAACTTCTTTCTTGATGTTTTGCCTGTAGCAAATCTTTGATATCTAAGCATACCTATCAGGTATTCTGGCACAAGGTAAAGGACCTCTCAGCTCTGGAAAGTGTTGCTTTTAGGAAAGTGGTTTTGAGGATGGAATTTATGCTGCTTTAAGTCTGGATTTTTAGGTGGTTAGTATTTTAAAGCAAGTTATTTGTTTTAATGGTTGTATTTAAGAGTTATGTCTGGAAGTCTGCCTTTGCAACTGGGTATCAGTCTTGTGATGTGTAAACAGTGTATTTGCTTTTTTAAGTTCTTTGAGAAAAAGAATGGATATAACATTGTCAGTATATTGGAATGGCTGAAAATAAATAAGTATTCTTTAACAATTCTGACTTAAAATATGGAGCACATAAATGGCTCTTAAAGTGAAATGGCTGTTAAAGAGAAATTTTTCGAGTCTTTTAAATTACATTTAAAATTCTCTTTTTGAAGGCCACTGCTTCCTTACATTGTTATACCTAATTACAAGCAGTGTGATAGCTTTAAATTAAGATGTGGGGAAAATGTTTTTCCGTGACCTAGTTTCTTTATTTTTTTAGTGACTAGATATTAACACTTGTACGATTTTCTTTCTTTCTTTCTTTTTTTTGACAGAAAGGATTGCTTTTCAGCTTCTTGATGGTAAATTTAATGGAGAAATTCTTTCCCTCTTAATTTGGGAAGTACTAATCCTAAAGTTCAGGTTTAACTGAGTCGAGGTTCTGTTTTAATTAAGAAGCTTCTCAAGCAAAGTGGTATTAAAATAGCAAGACTACATACATGCATTCAATATAGATATAATTGCAGATATTAAAGTCCTAATTTGTAATACAGTTCTTATTCACAGGGCTTTTTGTAAAAATCTTAGTGAACGGATAACCAAGTGTCAGTTGTTTTATGCAGGGGTCCCTGACCCCCGGGCCGCAGACCCGTTACTGGTCCGTGACCTGTTAGGAGCTGGGCCGCACAGCAGGAGGTGGCAGTAGGCCAACAAGCTAAGTAAGCTTCATCTGTATTTGCAGCCACTCTCCAGCACTAGCATCACTGCCTCAGCTCAACCTCAGATCATCAGGAATTAGATTGTCATAGGAGCACCAGTCACTGGTGCCAAAAAAGTTGCATACTGTTGCTTTTAGGTATATACCTCTTTTTAGTGTTGCTCTAAGTTGGATAGTTCAGAGGACAGCACATAGAATAGTTTAGTGGCCACCTCAATTATCCCCTAGCCCATTGATTGAACAGTCTGAATCAGTATCAGAAGTTAGCTATAAAGACACCTAAGCAAGGAAAATAGATCCTTCCTTCAGCAAACAAACAAAACATCCAAAAGATCTAGCCTTCCAACTTCTTTAAGTAGTTAAGCTTCTCTATTTATTTGTAGTAGGTTTTTAAAATAACGTCTTTAGTAATAACTGCTAAATTTTTACACTGGCTACACCATCCTAATAAATTACTTATATTAAATGAAAGTGTGTGTGAAAGGGCTTGGCAGGGCTTTAGTAAATGTTATTTGAGTCAGAAGCTTGATTTTTTTTTTTTTAACCCCATAACAAATTAAAAGGTGAGTCAGTTTAGATAGAGGAAGGATCATTGATAGAAGATTTGAAAGTTAAGAGTAATGAACTAAAGAATTATAAACATAACAGTCTAGGTCCATTTAGTGTAAGGGCTGATGCCTTACACACCTAAAACCTCTGAGGCCATCTAGTCATAGTGCTGTAGCTGACTCCCATGATAGCCTGAGTCATCAAGTAAAAGTTACATTATATTTTATTAAAAAAAAGTGCAAAGCATCTTAGATTTTTAAAACTTGAAAATGACCAGGCTTTGGTGCTTACAGAGGTAATCTACTGAAGAGTTCACAGACCATTTTTCTGTAGGACCAGATAAATTACTGAAATGGTGCATATGGAATCATATTGTAACAACAGCAGAACACTTTATTAGATAACAAAATACCTTAACTGATTCCAGTAACCAATAAAACTTGCATAGATCTAATTTTTGTTAGTGTCCTCGCTTTGCATTTATTATTTTTTTATTTCCTTTAGAATAACCCAGTGAACTGTCCCAAGACAAAACCAAGGCATTTCACTGAATTTTTGCCTTGAGAGTATAGTTACAGAATTTAACCTTAATGAAAATAGAGGCTTTGCTTAGAAGTGAATAATTTGAAATATAAATGTCAATGATTTTAAAGGGGTAGATGTTCAAAGATTTTTCAAACTAGCCTTTCCCCCATCTTTCTAATATTGTTATTCCACAATTTTATGTTAAATTCATATTCAGAGTTATCATTATGACCAGATATTTGTCACTGATGGGATAGTTTACTGTGATTTCATTTTCTTGTGTAATCTTTTGTTTTTCATGCATTGTTTTTTCATTTGGTTAATTTTGTCTGGCAAAGCCTTTCTGTACCCTCCAGCAGCTTCATAAAATAATTCTCAGTACAATTTTCCACATGGTCAGATCTGTCAGATAAACTTATCAGTTCCATTTTTTCCTGTAGTCATCTATCCCTTATATAGCTGTCCTTCCTGCTTTAGTCTAGATTATTTCCTTCTACTAGGCCTGCTGCAAAGCTGTCATCTTGGGACTTCCCTTAGCTGACGTTCTGAGAATTTCTTTCACTTTTGTAGTCCCTTTTTCTGGATCCCATGTCTTCCTTTTGGTTTATTCTTCACGTTGCATTCCTTTACTATTACTGTGAAACAGTGAATGGGAATGTTTTTGGGGAATTTATTTTTACTCTTATACTTGACTTTGGCTGTTGAGAGATTTCTGTATTGGAAATCATTTTCTCTCAGAAGTTTGGAGGTGTCCCCTTATTGCCTGGCTTCCAGTGTTGCTGTTGCAAAATTTGATTTCCAAAAATTTGTCTTTTGTTCTGCTATCTAGGAGATTTTAACCCTTTCAATGAATTTTAAAATTTCAGGTACCTTATGGAAAAATGTTCTATGAGCTTGTTCTTGTTCATTGTTCCTGTATGTTGTTCATTTTTCATTGGTGCAACATAATGTCTTTGACATGTTCTTCTGTTCCTTGTGTTGTTTTTCGTTCCTCTAACTTTTTTCCTGTTTGTTTTGGTCTCTGTTTCTTTCTGTTGGAGGCCTTCTTCAGATCTGTGTGATCCTTAGCAGTTCTTTCATATTAAGTAGAAAGTTCCAGAGGTGATAGAAAGCTCACTGGGCATGCATGAGCATGGCTTAGTGACTAATGAACTCCGTGTTTTTACCTTTATTTCTTTTCTCTGGGTGGTGGATAAGAAGGCTTTTGTTTTCTTCTGATACAAGTCCTTCATTTTTCTGTCTGTTTAAGGGAATAATGGAGAGAGGAGAGCATTGGCACAGGTAATACATTTAGATGGGAAGGTTCTAGTGCTGAGTAGAGGAAGAAAGCTACGAGTCCCACCATTTCGTTTATAAATTTTTACTTAGTCTTCATGTTTTCATACCAACATTTCACTTCTTTGTGAAATGAGCCTGAGCCTGGAACCACTCTGATTTAGTTTTGCTGAAGACCAGACCTCTCATTCCCTTAGGACTGTGTGTGCGTGCATGCGTGCCTGTATGTGTGCATTGGCAGGGGAAGGGGGTGTGGTTTTGGTTCTCTCTTCTTGCCTCTCAGTGCCTCCAGTTTCTAACTCTTTCTGAGAACTGCAGGATTGTCTGTCATTATCTCCTTCTGTAGGGACTTATATTAACCTATTATGCTAAGTTACCATTCCACCATCAGCTTTCTGTAATTATACATTGTATTCCAGGTTATTGTGTTTCCTATTTACATCAAAGATGAAATTTCTGTTTGTTTCTTTTTCTCTCTATTGTTCGGGTATGTTTT